ACTGAAGAAAGACCCCTCCGCTGCCGATGGCTGCAGGGCGCCGAGAGGGGGCGAGGTAATGAGGCTTCCAGGCATGGCACACACATTCCGCCTCCTTGCTCAACACGGAAAGAAGGGCTTTTATGAAGGGGAAGTCGCAGAGCAAATTGTGAAGGTGGTATCAGATCTTGGTGGCCATCTAACCCTAGATGATCTAAAGCATCACGCCGAGACTGGGTCCGAGCCAGTTGATCCCATTTCTCTTACTTATACTGGACAGGGTGTTGGGGAGAGGACAGACGATCAGGGCATCCAGCTCTGGGAGCACCCACCTAATGGCCAAGGAATTGTCGCCCTCATTGCTTTAGGAATCATCCAAGAGCTTGAAAAGCAAGGAAAGATAAAGAGATGGGATGTGGGACATCACAACAGCACTGAACATCTCCATGCGGTTATTGAGGCTCTTCGCATCGCCTTTTCGGACGCCCACTGGTTCGTCACTGATCCCAATGTTGTCAAGGTCCCATCCGCGGAATTAATATCGCAAGGATATTTGGCCGAGCGGGCAAAATTATTCGATCCAAAGAAAGCCATCAGTGCGCCTGTGCATGGTTCTCTAGCTCACGCACACTGTGATACAGTTTATTTCTGTGCTTCTGACCAGGAGGGAAACGCCATCTCGTATATCAATAGCGTCTTCTCTGGCTTCGGCTCTAATATTGTGCCAAAGGGCTGTGGTTTTGCACTCCAAAGCCGTGGAGCGGGCTTCAGTCTTTCCGAAGGCCATCCGAATGTCTTGGAACCGAGGAAGCGACCATACCATACCATTATTCCTGGACTGATAACACATGCCAAAGACCAAAGTTTGCATAGTGTGTATGGCGTAATGGGTGGGTTCATGCAGCCACAAGGCCATGTACAGGTCTTACTCAACCAGGAAGTCTTTAAGCTCCATCCACAGGCCGCTCTTGATGCGCCGCGCTTCTGTATTGGAGCAGGCATGCCTAGCGCAGATGGAAGTATGCCAGATGCTACCGTATATCTAGAGGAGGGTATCGACGAAAAGGTTGTAGAAGAGTTGAGGAATTTGGGTCATAGTATTGAACAACTGAAAGGGTATGGTAGGGCAACGTTCGGACGTGGGCAAATAATACGGCAACACTTCGTCGAAGGTTTCCGGGTTTGGAGCGCTGGAAGCGACATGAGAGGCGACGGTGCTGCTGTTCCATTATAAATCATGATAGCCCTCCCGAGGAAGTGGTATGTGAAATTTAGAAGTCATCATACCGCGCATAGAGGCACGTTGAACAATAGATAAGTCTAATGAGGAAGAAAAAAGATGTTGCTTTACAGAAGATGTGAAGGACTAAGGTACGTGACCTTCGCCAGTCGTCTACCCACGCGCATAGAAACATCAACATCATATATTTCTAAAAAATCTAAAGACAGAGTTACAGCTCAACAGTTCGAATATTTCGCAAGTTTCAAATCTACACCTTAACAATTTCAAGAACGACATGACGACATGGTGACGTTGATCAGGCCTAGATGTCATGATGATCTGTAACGACGTAGGTCGGACACTAATGCATCTCCAATACAAATATCACAATTGAGAATTTGGAAAACTGGATAATGCTCTGAATCAATCAGAAGTCCTCTACATCCTAACAGCATTCAAAATGGCATCCCGACTATTACGATCTACCGCTATTCGCACACCGTTGCAATCCAAGAAATCAACCAATCCCGCGCATTGGAGTCAGAAACCGACAAAGATGATTCATCGCTGCAAACCCCTGTTAGTAATCCAGAGGACAGCGGACTCGGGGGGCAGGAAGAGCCAACGGCCAGTCAGGATGCGATGAAGAGGGATCCAAAAGAGCCGGATAGCAAGAAGAGGGAGAAGGTGTTGGAATATGGACAGAATAAGAAACTAGACCCTGCGGATAACTAATATGTTGGACACTTACGTGTAGGGATCAATCATCATCGACCATGGAAGTCTCACTTTGCACGTCATATGAGTCATGAGTATGGAACAGTGGTGCTCTTCACTTTCTGGCATAGATGTAATAGTACACTAGGAATATTCCCTGATAGTTTAAATATAAAACTTGTTACTTTGACAGATTCAAGACTGTCCCTATTATCTGTGTAAGCTGCTGTGCAGATCATTGTCTCGCGGTACAAATTCCACCATTACTTTTAGATTCTTATACCCAATGAATGACAACTTTCATCAATTCTTGGGTAAAACAATTGACACAACCCCTTCGTTTTCACAAATGCATTTGTTTAACGAATATATGGTGTTATCACGCGCATGTCACAAGGCTGCATTCCAACGAACCTTGGTTTTAGGTGTGGCTGTGTTCTGCAGCCGCGCCCACCTTCTTAACCGGTTCTCTCTGGTTCCGGGTGCTAACTCTACTCTTGACAACCCTTCCTCGACCTCTCTCTATACAATTCATTCAACTGAACAACAGGCGCAAAGATGTCGGAAATCAGCGATGTGAAAAAAGGCTCCAAAGAAAAGAAAAGGAAAGCCCCCTCGACGAAACCGACTTCTCCGACTAAAACTCCGAAGCAAACGAAGTTCAGGAACCCGAGAGCATCGGCCTTAGCACCGCAGCCACGCTCGACGGGCGAATTTGGACTTGACTTATGCGGCTACTGTCAGAGCATGTTTCTTGACTCCGGTTGGGCCGGTCGCAATGCAGAGGAACACTGGGAGCGACTGGTCAATCCCAATTGCGATTCCTGCGAGCTCCTCGCAAATGCGTTCCTTAGAAATACCCCTACAGATCTCACGAGGAACCACTTCCGTGGAAGATTTTCTTTTCGGAGGCGTTCCGGTGGTACCATGTTCAGTAGGATCAGCATCGATGTTGGAACACAAAAGAATATCTACTTGGTGCGTATTGAATCAAACTAGGATATGCTGCAATATACCTGACCATAGAAAGACAATTGATTACGGTCGCAATGGCGGCTCTATTGAGATTCCTGAAATGATTGACTATAACGCCCTCACGACATATCTTCAGCGTTGTCAGCGGTCACATGGGAAAGGCTGTGGCAAACGTGAACTTCCGCTAAGACATTCACAACCAATAGATATAATACTTATTGACGTGATACGAGACTGTATTACTATGAGGACGACTGCTTGCAACTATTTTGCACTCAGCTATGTCTGGGGAAACGCTATTACTACAACAACCACCACACAGAACTTCCATGCACTTCAGCAACCTGGATCACTAGTGAACAGTGTCGTTATTCCAAAAACCATATCAGACGCGATGCTATTTACCAAGAATATGGGTCAACGCTATATCTGGATTGATTGCTTTTCAGTCATACAAGACTCACCAGCGAAACACCAAGATCTTGCCAACATGGACATTATATACTCTCAGGCTGAGCTCACAATTGTAGCGACTACAAACAAAGATGCAAACTCGGGGTTGGCCGGGGTTTGTCCCAGGACAAGAAGAAAAAGAATTATATCGAAGCGACACGGCCCCTATGATATAAAATTGGCACTTCCAACTTCCAAATTCGATTTGCTTGGGGGTACAATCTACTCATCTCGCGGTTGGACATTTCAGGAACTGGCCCTATCGAAACGGGTAGCCTTCATAACGGAACGAGAAGTAGTGTTTCATTGTGATACCTCACGGTGTTCAGAGTCTACGCCACGAGAGGCAACATTCACCAATGACCACTGGGGTTATGGTCCGATTGATTTTCGCACGAAAAGATCTCTTTCTGTCAACGGTGCCGCTACGCTAGATTCGTACTTCACGATAGTATCGGAATATTCCAGAAGGCAACTGAGTTTTGACCACGATATTGAAAATGCATTCGCTGGGTTGGCGTCTATTTTAGAGGGTTGGTGCGAAGGAAACCTTGTCACACATGGAATGATGCTGAGCTTTTTCCAACGCTCAATGATGTGGTTCTTTTCTTGGATTGGTAACGATCATCCCAAAGAAAAAATGGGGAAAAGGAGAACAGGATTTCCGTCGTGGTCCTGGGTTGGATGGATTGCGAACGTCAATTACATCGAAATCGATCCACGCGCACGCCTTCAATTCCAATCACTGATATACAAAGTTGAAATCACAACCTATGCTCAGATAAGAGATCCCATGTCCTTCTACACACTGGACATAACCGCCCGGGAAGCTGATGCGAAAACAGGAGGTCAACGAATCCTTGTCAACCTAGAACCTGTAACTTCTCGATCGTTGCTCACGCCTCCCAGTACACTTGGGTTCAATGGAGAACGAATAGAGTGGAAGCATTTCGCCGCCAATTGTACCTGCATAGGCAGCAGTGAGTCGACATTCCTCTTTAGCATTGTGGGAGATTCGTCGCCATGCGGGTTACTTTCAGTCTCACCAGATCAAGGTATTGTGCACCAAGTGTTCAAGGACTCGGCACCGGATGTGGACTGTGACTGGAGCATTGTGCGACTCTACCAAGTTCAAGTGACAAGTTTGAACGTTGAGGGAGATAAGTTAGACGTCCTGTTCGACCACATGGGAACAAAGGGTGTCGTTGAGAAAAAAATTATCAAAACTTTCAGGAAACGTTTTGTGCAATCGGATTTGCTTTACGTGCTGCTTATAAGACGTGAAGGTCTTTACTGGGAACGCATCGGGTCTGGTTTGATGTTTGCGAACGAATGGCCTTCGAATAGCACGCAAGCGAAGATACACGCATACGCAGAGAGAATAGTCCTTGCCTGATTCTTCACGCAATTGTGAGATGGACAAGAGTGTTGGAGAGTTGTCGAAAAGTTATCGAATAAGGGGTCTTACGTAAAGATGCTCCCCACATTTCGGAGTACCCACTCCACACAGACCTCCAGCGCAGAAAATTTCTGTCGTTATGGATATCGCAGTTAGGTTAACGAACTCTTCTGACCTATCCTCCTGGTGGTAGATTTTTCCAGATTTATGTATTGACAGGTTTCTGTTTGCGTCATCAATTACTTCGAGAAAAAGGCCCGGCTGGCACAATTGGTTAGCGCGTGAGACTCTTAATCTCAAGGTTGAGGGGTAAGCTAGCATCAATAGGAAAGCGCCGAGACAATTGACTAACGACTTTCAACGAAGTTCGAGTCCCTCGTCGGGCTTCTCAAAATATAGGACTCGTTATTTCTTTTTTTCTTTTTTTTGGCCATACAGTTTCAAGTATGCAAACTAGCTCACACAAAGATTGTACATGATACACCTCACGACTTATGCGCGTGGCTAAAACCTATGCCATCTCGAAGTCATGTTGAGTATTGACAGCGACCGAATAGGTCTGATAGAAATCAACTCCTATGCAGTCTTGTTGTTTGGAAATGTATTGTTTGCTAAACCTCAATCCGTCAGCTAACAAATGAATGTACACGGAAATGTTTAGCCGTCATCCACCTAGCAAGCCATGGTGTTTGGTACTGATCCCTTCCAAACTGGTCCTCCTGGCGCTTTATATGCCTTCTTTCCCTGTTGGATCATCCACAACTCGGTCAAAATGCCCTCAGTGTCATCGGGATTGTAAGCCCCCGGAAGAGCAATACCTGTCGGATTTTCGGTTCCACCACCAGTAATCCGAATGTGCGTGCAGCTCGGATCTTACAAACACAGTGCCCGTCAGTGAGTTGCTTAATACTATGAGAAGGGTGACTTACAAAATTGTGCTCCCATCCTCTTCCCCGCAACATGGAGCCCCAAAATCTCATGGCGCAGCAAGTACTCACCATTCGCAATGGTGGGAGGAATTGTCACTGTCCACGATGCTCCGTTACGAGCAAGGCAGTCGGAGCCCCAAGGAACTTTCTTACTGGGGTCGTAGGCAACTTCATCGATCTTGACCCATACGTTTCCAGTGTCACCTTTGAAAGACTTGCAGTCCGGTGTGCACTTGGCAAGATAGTTCATCACGGGCCCGGAGTGGGAGGAGCCCCATTGGTCCCAGATGAGTTTGCTGAAATATCAATCAGTGGATAGGGTCTAACATGAAAGGTCCGTTTTGAGAGACTCACATCTTTGTTCCAGCTTTTACATCGATGGTGCCGCTTGCCGGGATGTTCCCGCCCTGATTGCAACTGTGTCTCGACGTTACGAATGATTCAAGCAAAAAAGTTGATGGTTGACTGACGTGATATCCTTACTTGTAAAGTCCACAGCGGGACCAAGGTCCTTGACTCTGCGAGCGTAACGAGTCGGAACCGTCGTAAGGTAATCGTCAGAGCCGACTTGCCAGGCTGGATACTTGACCCCATTATACTCGATTGACTTTAAGTATCCATGAGCATCGACCACGGATGAAAGCGTGGCAGCTAGAGCAAGAGCTTGAACAAGGAAGCCTGTCATCTTGAACAGCGATGAGTGAATTTATCGATCGCAAAGCTCCTATTACTATGGCTGTATTTATACTATCTCCCCTTCGCCTTATTTCTCCACGACTCACTCCGGAACACTCTCTTCTGATCCCGCGGATGACCATCCCCAGACTCCACAAGGCTAGTCACGCACCCGAAACTCTCCCTGCTATATAGAACGAACTCTCTAACTGGCTTCTATCCATCATTGCCACCCATTCTTTAATATCAACAGCCGGGCGGAGTATTTACATTCCCTACTTGGCGGAGCCACGAGCTCCGAGTCCCCAATCAAGCTAGCCGCACCTACACTCATATACATATATCACCTCAATCCAGGAATCAAGATCCGAAACTGATATTACTTCTAGTTCTAACATTCCCATTCCCATAATTCGCTTACGGAAATAGGCCTGCACATCATATCACAAATCCAATCCGAAATCCCAGACCTGGACTTTCCTCTGCCCGAACGGACCGCCTTGTCGCACAAAAACACTCAGAACATTGTTCTTTGCTAATCGTTCATAATCCACCAATGGCTCCCCGGCCATATTGGTGATAGTTGCTAGACTCTTCCAGTCTTTATATGAACCTCCCGCCGTCGCGCCCCAAATCGTGACCGTATTCTTCGGTGCATCGGGCAAGATGACAATCAAATTATCCCCTGCTGCCGCAATCTTGCCTCGATACGACAGATACGGTGGCGTGGAAACGGCGACATTGATCGCGGTCTTAGAAAACGTGCCAGTCGGGGTGCGCAGATAGTGGTAGAATTTTGCAGTACCGGAGGACTTGTCGCGCATCAGGGCGTGGAAGCGGCCCGCCTCGTCGGCGCATTGGGCTTCTTGGTTTATGATTTCGGATTTTTCGGGGATGGTGTAAGTTTTGATGCCGCCTGTTGACGGAGTGATGGGTTTGGAGACGGATTGGCCCGAGGATGCTTTCCAGGTCCGGCCGTCGTCTTCGGAGAGCGCAAAGTAAAAGTCGTGGTTGGTGGATGCGTCGGGGGTCTCGCGGACAGTCCAGGAGACGAACAGTTTGCCGGATTGAGAAGTGAAGCCGTTGATGTAGGCGTTGTTGTCTTGGCCTTGGAGGTATTTGCCTACGTTGCTCCATTGGCCGGAGGTCGATGAGTAGCGATGGATCCAGGAGTCGCCGGCGCCGGATTGGCCAATGCGGAATTCCATCAGTAGGTCGCCGTTGGCGATGCGTTCGAAGCGTGGGTAGGTGAGAGGAGTCCAGGGGCCGGTTGAGCCAGGGAGAGAATGCTGGACGGAGCCTCCGAAGGCGCTTTGAGTCCATTGGGAAGGAATCGTTTTAGCGATGCCAGAAGTTGAGACGCGATAGTTTAGAGGAACGTCCTAGTCTGAGTTAGTTTGTGTATAGGCTTTTATGAGGGATGAACTTACGTGATGATCAAAGCTCAAGTGAATCTTCCCGTCACCACTGATTCCCATGCTGATTGTGTTATGTTCATCCAAAGTCGTCTGAACATAATCCGTGAAAGCAAAATACTGCCAATCGCCCACAGAAGGAGCGACTTTCCGTCGACCGAGATTGACATAGTGTTTACCATACCCACTAGCCGTGCTGTAAAAAGCTACGTATTGGTACTCCCCGAAGGTTGCCAGAGCATGCTGTTGAAAAGCCAGTCCATTAAGTCGCACCGACCCCTCAACATCATTCGTAATATTCCAGTACCTCGTCGACGAGACTGAAATAGCCTGCGTAAGAGACGCTACCAGCGTCGAAAAGACAACAAGACGGCGAATGAAACCCATTGTTATGCATATACTGAGACGCACTCCAGGCCTTCAACGGGGAAATTCCCCAGGTTTTTGTACATATACTACCCCCCCCTCACACTAACAACCACGCAGTCCTTTACCCCGGATTCCCACCTTAGCAATCCATGGAAACACTACTTTGCGTAGATTTCCCAATAGAGAAATCCACCACTCAGCGGTTCGGTGGCATAGTAAAAAAGAGGAAGTGGCCGATGGGAGCCCGGGTTTGCGGGTAAATACCTAGTCTAGTTAGCCCTGTGTATATGACATCAAACAACCTTGAAATTGATGCCGAGACGATTTTCCCCCGCTTCATTCACGGCGTAATGAGAGCCGAGGTGCACTGGGTTTGCGTCGATCGTGGATGGGCCCGTGGGTTTTGGGAGGGTCAGAGATTCGGTCCGAAAGTCTAGAGGCTTGCATTTGGGGATAGAGAATCTCGTTTTGATTACCATTATCTTCTGGACATCTACTTTTCGTTTCGTGAACCAACGCCGCTGAGGGAAATACAAAAAACCGCTACCATTCCTCGTTGCTTGTTGAAATCAGGAATCTATCCCAAATATACCCAAACGCCTTTATTCCAATACCGCGAAAAACTCCAGCAGTCAATTTTCCTCTGAAATCACAGGAAGGCCCCATACCGTTGCTGATTTTCCTTAATAATGCTGGTTGAGTTCGTCTAAGCCTGACGCCATGTTCAAGTCCATATCGAAATCCATATCCATATCGAAATTGAAGCCGGAGTCCGTGTCGTCCCATCGCATCACCTGCGGATTGCCTATTGAACCTTGGATGACCTCTGCACTGCTCAGACCAAATGAATCAAAGCCAGTGGTTACAGGCAGGCTAGATGAGAATCCTGCTGTTGTGCTTGGGACACCGCCATTCATTGCGAGTTGATCCCAGAATGACGATGAAGGTTGACTTGGTAGTCGTTCTCCGGCTTTGGTGCATGGGGTTTCTTTGATGGTAGGGAAGAGTTCTACACCGGAAGATGTGCACTCTTTTTCTTGAATGGTCGGAAAGATTGGGTCTTCATTCTTGGTACAAGCCTTTTCTCGAATAGGTGCCATGACATTGGTGCCAAGAGAACTTGATGTGGTCGTGGGCATAAAATAGGTCTTCCTGTCGCAGATGTCGGAACCTTTCCTAACGGAAAATCCCATTTCGCCGTTTTCTCCGATACATACACCACCTGGTACAGTACACATGAGCTCTGATATCGGGTCGTCAAGACTGGACATGTGTGGGAATACCGCTGGAAGAGGGTGGCCCGTGCAACTGGTGCTGACTGAGCCGAGCTCTGGTAGGGAGTAAGGTGTGCTCGACCCAGAGAGAGCATTGACAACCCTTGACACATTCATAGTCCCGGATAGAGTGCACTCGTACGCTAAAGCCTCTGTGTTAGATAAACCCAGGTTTTTGTTGACGCATTGGAAGTTCTCTAAGTTGAAACTGCGATCTAAGCGAGTGCCGGGCGTGACACCAAGGTCTTCGTAGATTTCATGATGACTGATGATATTCCCAGACCAATCTGACTGAATTCCATGGGACTTCTTGAAAAGATTTAGCCATTCCGGGTTGTCCGCCGCTGTCTGCTCCCATGCATCGTCTGTGCCATACAAGATGCGACGAGATTCCTCTTGAAGGAGTTGATCAGTTATGGTGTTCGGCCCATACTTCTCCATGTGCTGACGGGCAAACCGACCGAGTCGAAGAGTAAGAATCTCCCAGCAAGTTGCATACGGGTGCGGAATCGGAGAGACGGAAGCAGAGGATGTATGCTCAGGAGTATTATTGGGAGGACCAGCAGGGCTGAGAGTCGAGGAACCATCGATACTGACGTCGCCCATAGGGTAGGAGGCGGCCACACCAGTCGTGGGGCTAGTGGTGTTAAGAGGAGGTAGTAGATACTCAAGATCATCTTGAACCAGGTACAAATTGTGTTGCTGCGACTCCTGGTCAGCTTTT